TATGGGAATTCCCATATTTCCCATGGGCTGCACCCAAGGGGGGTGCCCGGCCCATGGGAACTATGGGCATGTACGGTGGGCCGAAGATTCTGGGGTGCCCATGGGAAATGTCAAGGTCTATAGAAGATAGTCTTAGAATCAAAAATCCTTTTCGCAACCTCTAAATCTAAATTCACTAAGATAAATTTATAGTGCTAAGATAGCATCACCGAGAAAGCCATAATACTCAGCAATACCATAATTTATATGAATTACATATACCCAGGCCGAATTAGGCAATGTTTGCATTGTTTATAGTGCAGCTGCGCTATAGCCAAAGTGCCGCCGCACCGAACCTCGCGCTTGGTGCAGTCGGCCCCACGTACAACTGCACCGAACTAAGGCCTTGGTGCAGCCGTTGCACCAGTACCGTTGCACCGGTACCGCTGCACTTGTCAAGGCCTAGTTACGGACACGCTAGTCATCAGTGGGTCCCCTTTCTCACACATTATCCTTGTCATATCCTCAAAAGCCATGTTAGATACACCAGTCAGAAGCAAACCTGCAAAGCGTGGAACACGGAATTCCCTTTCGTGCGCACAATGTGGCTATAGACACCTAAATGAATACGATGTCATGCTACGTTCCAGCCGCGTAGCATATTGCATTACATCCCGAACACATGCATACGCCCTCGCTTTCCATGTACTTCCTTTCAAGCGAAGATATAGATTGGCGAACGTTGTCGATTACTGCATGCCAAGGTGTTAGGATGTCTAGTACGGGGCTTAATTCGGCCCGCGGAAATAGTTTAAGTGGATGCATTAGTTGGAGACAGCCATCGGGCCAGATTTCTCAAACAACGGGAACTCTAACTTTGTCACTTCGCGGGTATCTTTTCGGGATTTGGGAAAGAGGGATTTGTTTCCAAATCCCGGTTAACTACTAGTCCGATCCCTTTACCAGTTTGCCGAGATCCGGGCTGAGTCCTCTGTGGTGATATTATGGCCCTTATAATGGCCCTTATAACCCCCCTTCAAACAAAAAATGTATATCACATGATCCCTTGTACATTTTCTGCTTAAATACTTTCCAGTTTTACATTTGACCTTACTCCTAAGATCTGATTCTCTGTCATCTCCATTCTGCAGAGTCTAATAATGATCTCTGAGAAAGAGTTCTTGGCTCGTCTCCCTCATTCCGTCAGCCACTGGCTGGGCTATCGTGAGAATGCACCAAAGCCTCCCCCGAAATATCTCGTTCACTTCTGGTCATTCATAGCCGCGTTCTGTGGCCTATGTGTGGTACAGGCTATATTCAATTACTCTTCCTACTTCATTGAACGTGGCGTGCCGGGTATCATTGCTTCTTATGTGCGTCTCCCTTTTTCCACGCGCTCTTCACAAATACTCATCCGCAAATAGGGAGCATCAGCAGTTCTTGTATATGGTGCTATTGAGAGCCCTCTAGCACAACCACGCGCACTAATCGGTGGCCATTTTTTGAGCGCTCTAGTTGGCATCTGCATCACAAAGCTCTTCAGCTTAATGCCTAATGAAGAAAAGTTCAACTCTCTGCGCTGGCTCGCCGCTTCACTTTCATCTGCTGTTGCCGTTGTCGTTATGCAGGTCACCGAGACAACTCATCCTCCAGCCGGCGCCACGGCCCTCCTTCCAGCAGTGGACGAAGCGGTTTGGGCACTATCCTGGTACTATTTGCCCATTGTCTTACTTTCGTCGACCATGATCCTGGGTGTGGCTCTGGTAGTTAACAACATTCAACGCCGTTATCCCGTTTTCTGGATCAGTCCACCCGCTGCGAAGCCTGTTCTTCCACAGGCTAGCAATTCGAAATAGAGTTATGCGCCTTCATCGCAAGGTGGCACTGTATATTTTTGGGGGCTGCTTGGAAACTATATTGTGGTGCATCTGCATCCTTGTGGGAAATAAAAGGAAGTCGAGTGGGAGTAGACTTGCTATGCCTCTTTGGGTGGCAAGTACAGTGTCAGTACTTTTAGGGGGCTAAGTATCACCTCCTCGAGTAGGCTGGATTCACTATGGCCTTGGGTTTAATTCAAAATAACATTGGAAATGAGGAACCGTACCTCCGTACTGCGTAGTTTTCCGTTTGGACGCTTCAACGCTCCACAATCGTCGTTGGGTCTCGCCCCGACCCGCGTAGCCGAGGCCACATGGGTCGCCAAGCCTGCCATCCATCGATCTACGAGCTTGGAAGGTTCCAGGGTCTGAACTCAGTTCAGATCTGAGACCAGTACGATAGTACCCTCCATAAGTCATCTGCACTCCTTGCAGCCTCACGAGGCCTATAGTCAAATATGATCTACCGCGAATATGCGACTTGCGTTGCCTCAACGGCCAAGATCTTAGCATTTTAAATCCCTCACGGCAATCCTGCTAAGGCTACAGGGCGGATGTTGTCCATCCTCCGACACAGTCTGCGATGGCTTGCATTAGATTCTCGGCGATGAAACGTACCAGGGTCTTTGGTTCAATCGGCTATTATTGCCCGCGATTCTGACCGATATGGTGTCACTAGGTGGAGCTGAGCTCTAGTTGGTATAATCGAGCTAATCCCACTGGCATACGCCCAGTTGCTACCGAGAATACTCCGTTCTATAAATGAAGTTTTCCAAATGCGTTAGGAATAGACCCCACTCACTCACCTGTCAATGTAATGTAGTATATAATGATGTTTCTTTTGGCTATCTACAGGAGGAAATACTCGATTAATTAATTGATAGGTTTTATATGTGTGTACTCTACGATTTTATAACAACTTTATTTAAAAAGGAAGTGATAGTATATATCTATGTCATACATCGACGTACGCGTATGTGAATTTGAAACCCGCAGGAATGACGGTAAATAAATACGTCCGAAGCCTCGTGTGGGACATTTTGTCTCCCGTATTAGATGGCTCCACTAAGCTCTGTTAGTCCTTCGTCCTCTGCGATCCTTCGCACGGGGGTAACCTAACGCGGCCCTACACTAATACGCCCGCAATTTGGCGCTAACCTTGGAATCTAGTTCTGCTTTAAGTAATTGATGATATCGTTTTGGGCTTTTTGATTGCTGCCCAGTGTAGCGTGGCAATAACGTAATATAAGGAAAAGGCCATTATATCCGAGGACCACGCCGATTGGAGAGTCAATTCAGGCGACCAATAGCTACTTAGGGAGCTGTGAGTCCAATGCCTGCTCGCACGAGGTTAAGCAGCCGCGGTATTTTGCTTCTATGGCCAAATTACTTATGCCTTACCAATGCCCTAAACGAGGATGCGTGGGTTCCCAGCGGCATAAATACCGCTCAGCATTATTATAACGACTGGATTGGAAAAGAAGCGTTCAGTCAGCAACAAGATGATTACTCAGTACTTGATCATTGTTGGTTTACTGTTCATAGCCACATAGATGGTCTCAGTTTACTTGTATTTTATCATCATGCACTGTCACACCAGCCTCGTAAATACACATCTATCTGTCCGAATTCTAATGGCTGTCAGGGTCATCGTCTTTATTGCCGGGATCTGAATGATTAATGCGTTCTCCATCCATGATTCCGGGACTATAGGTGCGAGCCATGCATTGGTGGTCCAGAGGTTTCCGGATAGCAGCCGTTTCTAGGAATGAAGAGGCAGGCATGACATGCAGTCAGATTTTAGCTTCGTGACATAAATGGGCAAGGGATGGAATTCGCCAGAAACAGCCGAGGGTATGAATCTCGCGCATATCGGACCTTCTAGAACTAGGCAGGACAAGTCTTTTGACACCAGAGCTTGTATTCTACTATTGATTCATGCAGTTAGAAACTAAGTCAGTTCTATTTACAGTGGTCGATACAAGGTAGACTATCTATGTGTGTTGCATACATTCCTACATAGCACTCAATTCCAGGCCAAAGCGATCATGGTGGCTGGCTGATACCCACTCATTTAGTCTGAGATATAACACCTAAGTTCTACGCAAGAAAACGGTGGCACACAGCTAAGGTTACAGTGATCCTTCTTCCTTCCTTATTCGGACAATCGAGGGCCCGTCTGCGCGCATCTAGCTGAAAAACGTCTTACTAGGTGATATATCTGACTTCAATCCTTCGACTTCCCGCTCCAGAAAGGGAATATGCACACCAAATTTAGGACGATACTTTGTCAAGCGAGCTGTCAATCATGTACATCAGACACGCGAGGACGTATAATATCGTCGCCAAGGAATATTTGCAATATATCCTCATGTGAGTAAACTGAGGCTGAGCAGAGAAATCAACGTCGCCTCGCCGTATCCACTTGACGTGGCCCCTCCAAGCCAATTCCTGCCATGGTCTCTCCGGTTTGGGGCAGCCTCACGCACATAGTTCCCAATTTGGAAATATCCGGGTGTCCGAGGCCAATCGCTCTCTTGTCTTTTGTAAACAGTAATATGTAAACGATTGTGCATTTCTGGAGTTTATAAAACGGCAATAGCTCCATCGATAAGCTCTTGTAACCTAACTCATCGACTACCTTGACGAGATGTCTGTTATATACAACAGCACCGAGGCTTTTCTCAGCCCCTTACCCATTGATCCAGCCTCGCGGTCTGTAGGACTTGGCGCTGTGATTGAAGCAAGTTCGGCGTTCCTGTGGACACTCACTGCAATTGTCGGAGCATCGCTTCTCGCCTGGTTCAGAAAGCCCTGGACTGATGAGAATGGTCACAAAATTCCCAAAGGCCCAATAGGGCTTCCTATATTTGGTAATTCTACCGCTGACATACGTAAAAGAGCCTTTTCTAACATGTCTTATAGGTTCCTTTTACTCTTTGACTAGGTATCCTGAGTTGACTCTGGACTACTGGGCGAAGAGGTTCGGAGACCTATATTCCATCTGGCTTGGAAACCAACTGTTCGTCATTGTCTCAGACCCAAACATTGCCAAAGACCTCATGGTCACCAACGGGAACGTGTTTTCCTCCCGCAAAGAATGTTTATCAAAAGCCAAACCGTCTTTGCTGGTCGAGGTATCACTGCTACTCCATACAATGATCGATGGTAAGTCTTTCCTAAATTTCACCGAGGTTGCTGCTAACCCCGATTAAAGGCGCAAGCACCGCCGTATTGCTGCCACATGGTTGAGCCAGCGTGTCGTGGACTCATATTCTCCTGTATTGGATCGCGAGTCGCTCTCGTTGGTAAAGGCATTGCTTATTGAAAGTAAAGGAGGCTTGGCCCCCGTCGACCCTCAGGTATGTCGATCCGGTTCACCAGTCCCAACAGCAAGCACTGATTGATAAAGCCTTATGCCGGTCGTTGCTCATTAAACAACATGACAACTATCACGTTCGGTTTCCGAGCAGACAGCATCCACCACCCCCTCGTAGGACGGGCCTTGAAGCCCAGCCGTGAATTTATGTATACCCACAGTCCATGGAAATATGGTATTTATCTTGCCGACAAACTGACTGAGTTACTAGGAATTGCACTGGCCCTATGTCCAATCTTATTGATTTTGTTCCCATTCTGCAGTACCTCCCGACACCATTGCACAGGCGCGCCAAGAAACTGCACAAGGGCTTGGTCGAAACATACGGTGGCTTCATCAAGGAAACTGAGCAGAAGATGATGGAAGGCAAGACGGTTCAGGACTGTTTAGCAAAGACGATGGTCGAAGTCCGCTATAAAGAGGAGCTAGATGATTTGGATATGGCGATCCTTGCATCAGCCTTCATGATCGGCGGTGTTGAGACAGTAAGTTACTACCATGATACCCTTACTCACATCTCACTAATGCCTGATTCAGACTGCCGCTATTATGCAATGGTTCTCTGCTCTTATCCCTGCCTATCCTGAGATTCAAAAGAAGGCCCAGGAAGAGCTCGATCGTGTTATTGGACGTGATCGTCTCCCTGCCATTGAAGATGAAAAGAACCTACCTTATTGCCACGCTATCATAAAGGAAGTGGAGAGAGTTCACAATCCATTCTGGTTAGGTACTCCACACGTCGCCAGTGAAGATTTCGTCTACCAAGGAAAGTTCATTCCGAAGGATACTGTGGTCGTTCTCAACACATGGACTATGCACTATGATCCGGCCCGTCATTCATCTCCCAAAAAGTTCGATGTATGTTACCTCCGACCAGTCCGTTGTGAATCTCATCTACTAATAAACGAACAAAGCCTGATCGTTACATCGATGAACCTTGACATCTGCTGACAGTGTCAATGTTGCCGATCCGATGAAGCGAGACCACTGGATGTTTGGAGCTGGATAAGCAATAGTTTGTCTGCAACGAAACAGAAAGCCCGGTTAACATCTTTTAGTCGTCGCGTTTGCCCGGGAATGATTGTGGCTGAGCGTGAAATTTGGCTGACAATCTCCCGTATGCTCTGGGCATTCGATATGTACGAGATTCCGGGGGAGCCTATCGATTTGAAAGAATATGATGGCCTCTCTGGGCGTTCTCCGGTGCCGTTCCGCATTGGATTGAAGCCACGGCATGACAATGTTGCCAAACTATTAGAGAAAGTTGAGATTTAGATCGCGCGAGGGAGACAGCACGAGAGATTAGAAGACTAGAGATGACTGGGAGTGCCTTCTCCCAAGGTCCTCTGGAATAGATGCTCTAGTGTGTCGTTGGACTCTTGACAATGTTTATGGTCTATTTTAGATATTGGTTACTTTCCAGCTCATAAAACTTTCGCCATAGACAACCAACTATAAAAATTTCAAAATATACCTCATACACTCAGCAATCCCACTGCTTTAGACAGGGCTGCAAGTTGTACAAAATCGAGTAATCTGATTTTCTACCGATGCATATATATGGACAACTACGGCAGTCTACGCAGTCTACCTTGGGGTATATAAAGCCCTGACTTCAGCTCATTCAGCCCCTGCCTGCAACCAACATGTGGCAGTGCCGTGCTTTTCTGCATATCCTAGTGCGGAGATTGGCATGGTCGTCATCAATTATCACTGGCAATTACTCGCGCGACATGATCTGCAATGTTATACTCCGTCACCGCGCGAATTCGGTTGCTCATAAAACCAGGGAAGAGTCCTGTGGCAGCCGTTAGTCGACACCACTACTAGAATATATCAAGAAAACTCTCACCCATTATTTTCATCACAGCATACATAGAATACTCTTTCAAGATGCCCATCTCACGCTTGCTGTTCTGTGTCTTTTGTGCATATTCCAAAATTTCGTTGACGTGCGGCTGACGCAAATTCACATACTGCGAAGCGGCGGCTTTGATTGCATTCCCCCGGGCCCTTGGCGTTACCCCGTCCTGAAGGTGATGGGCCAAAAGCAAGGCGAAAGCCTCAACATCCTCTAATGCTTGAGAAGAGCCTTGACCAGAGCTTGGAGGGAGCGCATGTGCTGCATCTCCAACGAGAACGACACCATCCCGCTCCCACGTTGGAAGAGCAGGTAAAGTCCATGTTGGATATATATTTTCAACCTGAAGGGATTGGATTATCCTTTTCACAACAGGTTCCTTCCAATTACCATGTCTCTCACGCAGTTGCCGAGTCACGTCGACCATGTCGAGTGTTTTGCGATCAGGACATTCTTCGATCTCGTAGGTTGACCACCAAGCAAGGGAGTCACCTGGCTCGGAGACGTGATAAGGCGAGTTCCGGTTAGCAGCGGACACAGAGCTTTCCGAGAAGAAATATCCGAAGAACCCGTTTCCACCAAAGACAAAATTCATCGAGCCCGGTTCGACAAGACCCTTTACATCTGCGGCAGGGATAAAGCCCCCAACCCCGACGAGACCTCTGCCGCATAGTTAGTGATGAGACCAGACAAAATAGGCTTGATGACCAGATCAAGGATCTTCAGGGCTCACTTACTCGTAGTTTGGGGGATATGGATCTTCTTCAGCACCCGGGAAAAGTGCCAGCTTAGCAATACTTCGGACACCGTCTGCGCCAATAATCAGATCAGCCTCCACTGGAGGGCTGTTATCGGAAAAGTGAATCAAATTGATTCCGTCAGATCGGGCAGTAACTTGGGCTACTCTTTTGTGGACGATATGGTCGTCTGGAATTCGCCCCCGCAGAGCAGTCCAAAGCGAGTGGCGACTAGTTGCGAGCATATGGGGGGAGCTGTTGTTGTTATTTTTGCTGTTGTCGTCTGAAGAAAAACTGTTCATGGAGAACAGGGGCCAGCCATTTTTGTTTTTCATGTTAGAAATTGCCGTAACGTATCCCCCGCGGACAACATCCTTCAATAGCTCTTCGTCAAGGCGCTTCAATACGTTCAATCCATTGGGAGCAACACCTAGTCCGCCTCCCACAAGTAGTGTTGATGAATGCGTGTGTTCCTCTGTTCTTTCATCAGGTGTGATGCTCTGGTTTGTATCGTATGCCTCGTACATAGTGACCTCATAGGATTCATCCGATTTGGTAGGCTGCGGGAGGTGCTTTTGCAGCTCCAGGTAAGCTGCACATCCGGCGATCCCAGCACCAATAATAATGATCTTCATTGTGATGTTCCAGTAGAAGAGTCGATGAGTTTCAGAAAGAATATGAGAATGAAAAGTTGAGAGCAGGACTCGGTACATTTCAAGATTGGTCTAATGCGGGTCACTACAAAGCTAACTGAATTAAGCTAGGCTGTGCCAAATTCACCAATCACCTCCGTGCATAGCCCAGCCTGTTCGAGTAGCTCACTTCCAACCTTGGAAGGTGAGGCAGCTCTCTCTGATATAAGCATTTCAACCACATATTCCAGCCAGAATTCTCATGCAATCCATGATGTCGCCATAGCATTGAAAGTCGGCGTGCGGATGTTTCTTTGTACGCTAACTGCACATGTTTATTTGCTATCCATGATCTATGGATATCTGTTGAGACAGGCTCTCTGCCGATGCCTGGTTTGTCAGGCTTCAACCCATGTTTGCTAACTAGCTATATTAGCTAGCTTCTGTTTGTCGATAGAGAATTCAATCCTTCTTCTCTCTCTCCCTCTGGCCATCTGTGGCCAGATCAATATCTCCCCTAGCTATAGGTAATATGGCTAGCATCCCTTAGAGATTTTTGATGAGCTCTTCATCCTCCTCTTACTCCCTGCTCACTCCCTGCTCAGTATAGTTATATATGGTCACTACCTACTAGATTCTCTCGGCAACTGCTTAAATCTTTTTCCGATTCAGTGCTCCTCTGTATAGAAGTATGTCTCCTACCCAATCTCTCACGGAACTCTTGAATATTATTTCGAATGCATCTCGAGGACCAATCATACCTACTTGCATGCGTATGTGGTTGTCCTAGATCCCCTTCTAAAACTCATTTAATACGATTTCCTGTATCAATGAAGGTATTAGATGGAACCAGATTGATGACTAAAGTTCTTCAAGAGGGAAAGTGCGACCAGATCCCCGGCCACATTATGGGAGCTGCAAAACCAAATGCATGTGGAATGGCTATCCCAAGGTACTCCCGCGCAGCTATCGGGCCTGCCTCACTACGTTATGGCAAAGTACTTCTTCTCTTTCGGCAAACCCAACCTTACGAAAATCACCTTTATCGTTGGAATTCCACGTGTAATCTGGGAAAATTTGGAGGCACCAAGCAATATCCCAGGACTGAGCCATAGGAAGGCTCTAGGACCGAAACTCATACCCATTCGTTGGGATGTCGCTGCTGTGGGCACGTTGCTTGAGAGAAGAGGAGAAGAGTCTTCAGGACGAAAGGGACGAGCAAGGGTATGCGAGACAAGTCTACGACCTTTTGCCGTTGTAATAGTTTCTAGAGCCCATTTATTCGAACATGCTCAGAAACACGCCCAGTTCATAAGAATGGCAAAAGACTTCACAGGAGAACAAAAACAGTTAAAAGACATCCTCCTAATTCAGAGAACTTGGTAAAATATATATAGGCATCGAAAAATGAGATCAAATACAATAGCAAATAAATGCATATGCATCGTTTCGGCGTCTGATTACACGAGTAAGTTAAATCCGAGAACAAGGAGTCATAATCGAATACACCATGTACCGCTAATCCCGGTTCACATGACAACGCAGCAAGAGTTTTGCTTCTTGGCCTGGAATGGGTTGTGTTAGTACGTTCAGGCGAAGGCAACGTTCGATTCGCATACCTGGGTATAGAACATCTTGCTTTGAGCTGACAGCCCATCACTCTTCTGAACCAGGGAGTCGATCTTCTCACCGCGCTCCAGAACGCTTTCGATCTATAGACAGTTAGTACGTAGAATAAGCTCATCAGACATAAGAGCATACCGTCTTGTGAAGGACAATCTTGGTTTCGTCAAGCTCCTGCTGGATCTTCATGATGCTGTCGGCCTGGCCTGGGTCCTGGTACTTGACGATATATTCCTTCAGTTGCGGCAGAGGGCAGGCATTCTCGCGCAAAGAGGGGTCGGAGAAGGCAGTGCGTGGGTGTTTGGCGAGGAACTCGTCCACAATCTTGCCCAAAAGCTGGTGGGCGACTAGGGCAGGGTAGTCCCCATCTGTCACAATAACACCAGCAACACCCTCTGTCCGTCCGTAAGCGTGGAATGTATAGGCCTTCTCCTCAATATCCTGTCGTTGGCCTGGCTTTGTCTTCTCGGCGACCGTTCGGGTGAAGAGCATCAGGAATTCATCGTAGCTGGTAAGCGCTTGGCGGTTAGTGACCTAGCTGTGTTGGACCAAGAGAGGATGGGTGGACATACTTCTGACGAGTGAAGCGCGAAAAGCTAGTAATAATTAGCGAGACGTTCCAGTCAGTTGCAGCGCGCATGTGAAACTACCTGCTGAGGTCCTTTTCCCCGCATAGCTGGAGAGCTGGCTGAGTGTCGTTCCGGAAAACCTGCCAAATTCATAGATAAGTACTGTATCTAAGCTTATACCGAATCAAATCCAAGCCGCAATGAAACATACGCCCATATAAAGAATCTTCATGGTGACAGCGTGGTTGTCTGCACGAGGACAAGGAGGCAAGTAGGTGCTCGAGGGTAGTGGGTGGGGCGTCGGGTCGTAGTAGGTGCTTATCGAAGGAATTACTCTAGTGTCAAAGAACCAGGCAACTTCTTTTCTTGTAGAAGGTCAGCTGTATGATTAGCTGAAGTGGCAAAGCAGAGTGACAAGTGTTGAGCCTAAAACAGCCTCCTGAGTTGCCGATAACAATGATGCACTGGACCCTCTGCATTGTGGCCTGAGGCACGAGAACCACACCGCTCTTGTCATGCGACCAACTGAGCCCTGCAGGCCTGCCCTATAACTGCTTTTGGCTCAGCTTATCCCCTCATTCCTTACATTCTTTGTTGCTGGGCTTATCACTTCTTGATCATTACACCAACTGGACAGTTTTATCTGGTCAACATGGACAGCGTCGCAGCTACCGAGTCGCAGTGGCTGACACAGTTAGCAGCCATGCGCCAGGCTATTGCTGATCTGAAGCTCCCCCAAGACCTTCCTCACGAATCGATCAGCTATGGAAGCGATATTGATCTGGACATTGACGATGACTACTCGTCTCCAGGAACAAATGATGATGTGTGGGATATCATCAGCTCGGACGATGAAACTTCCGATGACCTGGACGACTTGCATGGACTCGATGGACTTCATCTCGCACCGGTGTCCTCATACAATCGGTTGTGGCTAGAAGACAAGTGCCAGGATCTGGCCGTACGGAACTCAACTATGGATGCAACAGAGCTTGCTCAACAAGTCATCGCCACCCTGGCTGCTGACAGCAACGACGAGGAGCTACAAATGTCTTTGGCCGAGATTGTTGGATTCGATGACCTGGATCTGGTAATTGAGCTGATTGCACACCGAGGAGAAATTCTGTCGGACAAGGGACCCCGCTTAGAATCCCAGACAGATGGGCTCATGGCAGGTAGACTCCAAACACGAGCAGAGAGAGAACATGCTCTGCAGCAGCGCGACTTCGAACATAAGCATGCAGCCTTGATGCCGGCCCAGACCCGATCGGAGCCCTCCTACCCGCATGTTTTCAAGCAACAAACCTCCGGAAATACACTTTCCGCTAATGGAAAGAAATATGGGCTGCCTCTGGGTAGCGAGCAGATCGAGGAACCGAAATACACAGAATTCGCGATTCCGGCGTCGAAGGTTGGAACACTGGGAAAGGGCCGGAAACTCGTTGAGATCGCTGAAATGGATGGCCTTTGTCGGGGTACCTTCAAGGGTTATAAAACCCTGAACCGTATGCAAAGCTTGCTCTACGATGTTGCATACAAAACCAATGAAAATATGCTTATTTGCGCGCCGACTGGTGCTGGTAAAACGGACGCCGCCATGCTGACTGTTCTCAATGCTGTGGGAAAGAACACATCTCCAAATCCATTGGAAAACCCAGAAACGACGGAATTCACTGTCCAAGTTGACGACTTTAAGATTGTTTATGTTGCTCCTATGAAGGCTTTGGCTGCTGAGGTTACGGAGAAACTCGGAAAACGCTTAGCCTGGTTGGGGATCAAGGTCCGCGAGCTGACCGGTGATATGCAGTTGACCAAGCGGGAGATCGTTGAGACCCAGATCATCGTTACTACCCCTGAGAAATGGGATGTCGTAACGCGTAAAAGCACCGGAGACACAGAGCTTGTTCAGAAGGTCCGCCTTCTCATTATTGATGAAGTCCACATGTTGCACGATGAGCGAGGAGCAGTCATCGAATCCTTGGTCGCTCGAACCCAACGTCAGGTCGAAAGCACACAGTCCCTGATTCGTATTGTTGGTCTATCAGCCACCCTTCCGAACTATACAGATGTGGCGGACTTCTTGAAAGTGAACAAAATGGCCGGCATGTTCTTCTTCGATCAATCCTTCCGACCTGTACCTCTTGAGCAACACTTCATCGGCGTCAAAGGAAAGCCCGGCTCCAAACAGTCTCGTGACAACATTGACTCTGTCGCCTATGAGAAGGTTCGCGACATGATGGAGAGAGGCCACCAAGTTATGGTTTTCGTCCACTCGCGCAAAGATACCGTAATGACTGCCAGGATGCTTATGCAGCTAGCTGCGGAGGAGGGCCGAGAGGACTTATTCAGCTGTCATGATCATGAGAACTATTCCAATGCCCTTCGTGACATGAAACACGCGCGTGCACGTGAGCTGCGAGACCTCTTCGCCAGCGGATTTGGAACGCATCATGCAGGAATGACTCGAAGCGACCGAAATCTGATGGAGCGAATGTTCTCAGAAGGTCTAATCAAGGTACTCTGCTGTACTGCCACCTTGGCCTGGGGTGTCAACCTTCCCGCAGCCGCGGTTGTTATCAAAGGTACTCAGTTGTATAACCCCCAAGAGGGTAAATTCATTGACCTGAGCATTCTCGATGTCATGCAAATCTTTGGTCGTGCAGGTCGCCCACAATTCCAGGACACCGGTATTGGATTTATCTGTACTACTCATGACAAGTTGAACCACTACCTATCTGCTGTGACTGCGCAGCAGCCCATTGAGTCGCGCTTCTCTAGTCGACTTGTGGATAACTTGAATGCTGAAATCTCGCTTGGAACCGTGACATCAGTTCCAGAGGCTGTGCAATGGCTTGGCTACTCGTACCTCTATGTGCGCATGAAACGTGAGCCGAGAAACTATGGAATCGAGTTTGCCGAGTTACGCGATGACCCAATGTTGGTTCAAAGGCGGAGGCAGTTGATCTTACAAGCAGCGCGGGTGCTACAAAAGAGTCAGATGATCATCTTCAATGACAAGACCGAAGATCTCAAGGCCAAGGATGTCGGCCGCATTGCGAGTCAATACTACGTATTGCAAACCAGCGTCGAGATTTTCAACGACATGATGCGTCCCCGATCTGGTGAGGCAGATGTACTCAAGATGATCAGTATGAGTGGAGAATTCGACAACATCCAATCTAGGGACAGCGAGTCCAAAGAGCTTCAGCGACTGCGCGATGAAGTCGCGCAGACTGAAGTTGCCGGAGGAAACGATACGCCACATGCAAAGACAAACCTCTTGTTGCAAGCCTATATATCTCGCGCCAAGATTGAAGACTTTGCTTTAGCCTCCGATACTGGATATGTCGCCCAAAACGCGGCACGTATCTGCCGTGCTCTCTTCATGATTGCGTTGAATCGTCGCTGGGGCTATCAATGCCAGGTTCTATTGTCTCTTTGCAAGTCCATCGAAAAACAGATCTGGCCCTTTGATCACCCTTTCCGTCAGTTCGACTTGCCCCAGCCGATTCTCCGTAACCTTGACGAAAAGCTTCCAACTACCTCCATCGAGTCGATGAAAGAAATGGAGCCTGCGGAGATTGGTCAGCTTGTTCACAACCACCGCATGGGCAGCACATTGTCCAAGCTGTTGGACAATTTCCCAACTCTGAGTGTTGAGACCGAGATTGCGCCCCTTAACCGCGACGTGCTTCGTATTCGCCTTTCCATCTACCCCGAGTTCACCTGGAATGATCGTCACCACGGAGCATCCGAATCCTTCTGGGTCTGGGTCGAGAACTCGGAAACATCAGAAATCTATCATCACGAGTACTTCATCCTAAGCCGGAAGAAGCTTTACGCCGACCATGAGCTCAACTTCACTATTCCGCTATCTGACCCTCTTCCCAGCCAAATCTACATTCGTGTGATCTCTGATCGATGGCTGGGTGCTGAAACCGTTAGCCCGGTTTCTTTCCAGCACCTCATTCGCCCGGACACTGAAAGCGTGTATACTGATCTACTCAATCTTCAGCCACTTCCTATATCGGCTCTCAAGAATCCCATTCTTGAGGAAATATATGGACAACGCTTCCAATTTTTCAACCCCATGCAAACACAGATCTTCCATCTCCTTTATCACACACCAGCCAACGTTCTTCTTGGCTCTCCAACTGGTAGTGGAAAGACTGTCGCAGCTGAGCTGGCAATGTGGTGGGCTTTCCGTGAGAAGCCCGGCTCCAAGGTTGTCTACATTGCACCAATGAAAGCCTTGGTCCGCGAACGAGTTCAAGATTGGCGTAAGCGCCTCACCAGACAGATGGGGTTGAAGCTTGTTGAGTTGACCGGTGACAATACACCTGACACACGTACTATTCGGGATGCCGATATCATTATTACCACACCTGAGAAATGGGACGGTATCTCGCGTAGTTGGCAGACCCGTGACTACGTCAGGAAAGTGAGCCTCGTGATTATTGACGAGATTCACTTGCTCGGCGGTGATCGAGGTCCCATTTTGGAAATCATTGTTTCCCGAATGAACTATATCGCCTCTCAATCAAAAGGATCCGTTCGACTGATGGGAATGTCCACCGCCTGCGCCAATGCTTCTGATCTGGCCAACTGGCTTGGTGTCAAAGAAGGTCTGTATAACTTCCGTCACTCAGTTCGCCCGGTTCCCCTTGAGATTTTTATCGATGGGTTCCCTGAGCAGCGTGGATTCTGTCCCTTGATGCAGTCAATGAATCGTCCAACTTTCCTTGCAATCAAGAACCATTCGCCAGAGAAGCCAGTCATTGTCTTCGTTGCTTCTCGCCGACAAACCCGTCTGACTGCTAAAGACCTGATCAATTACTGCGGTATGGAGGACAATCCTCGTCGATTTGTGCGAATGTCTGAAGATGATCTGGAGTTGAACCTCACGCGGGTGAAAGATGATGCCTTAAAAGAAGCCCTCAACTTTGGTATTGGTTTGCATCATGCTGGTTTGGTTGAATCTGATCGTCAACTGGCAGAGGAACTCTTTGCCAACAATAAGATTCAAGTTCTTGTGGCGACTAGTACTCTTGCTTGGGGTGTTAACCTTCCAGCGCATCTTGTCGTGGTCAAAGGCACACAGTTCTTCGACGCTAAGATCGAAGGTTATCGGGACATGGACTTGACCGATGTTCTGCAAATGCTCGGTCGCGCCGGTCGCCCGCAGTTCGACACCTCCGGTATTGCGCGCATCTTCACCCAGGACTCAAAGAAGGCTTTCTACAAGCACTTCCTCCACACCGGTTTCCCAGTCGAGTCGACCCTACACAAGGTTCTCGACAACCATCTTGGCGCCGAGGTATCTGCTGGAACTATTGGGACGCAACAAGATGCGTTGGACTACTTGACTTGGACATTCTTCTTCCGTCGATTGCACAAGAACCCTTCGTACTATGGCCTCGAGATATCTGCCGAGGAACAAAACACGATGGCAGCGCAAGCTATAGCTCAAGATTTCATGGTTGAATTGGTTGGAAAGTCGCTCAATGACCTCGCAGAATCGTCTTGTGTTCTCGTGGACTCGGCGACCGGAGAGGTCGACTCTACTCCCTTCGGCAAGATCATGAGTTACTACTACCTATCGCACAAGACGATCCGGTACCTCGTGTCCCATGCCAAGCGTGATCCGACTTTCCAGGATGTCTTGAGCTGGATGTGTTCCGCAACGGAATTCGACGAGCTGCCAGTTAGACACAATGAAGATCTGATAAATGCTGAGCTGGCCCAGAACTTGCCGCTGTCTATTGACTGCATGGGCGATGCGCCCCTCTGGGACCCACATACCAAGGCGTTCCTCCTCCTACAGGCCTACATGTCGCGGATCGATCTTCCCATCACTGACTATGTTGGTGATCAGACATCCGTGCTCGATCAAGGCATTCGTATCATCCAGGCCTCGATCGATGTGATGGCTGAGCTCGGGTATCTTCCTGCGTGTCAAATGCTCATGACTCTCCTGCAATGTATCAAGTCGGCGCGCTGGCCTGAAGACCACCCGTTGTCAATTTTGCCAGGCGTTCCGACCGAGAAGCCACGCAGCGGTCTCCCCGGAACTCTTGTGTCGCTCTCGTCACAACCTGCTGGTGCAGTTGCTGCTCTTGTCAAGAAATTAAATCTTCCATTCAACTTTACTCGCATTACGTCCCAGCTCCCTCACCTGTCGGTCTCGGTTGCGGCTGTTTCTGCTAAGGGCGTTGATGTGTCTCTGACACGGCGTAACCAGCCCACGACCCCCGAATGCAAGGTCTACGCCCCTCGATTCCCCAAGCCACAAACCGAGGGATTCTTCTTGATTGTTTGCAGTGCTCTGCCCAATGGCATGGATGGTGAATTGCTTGGCCTGAAGCGCGTCTCCTGGCCACCAGTATCTAAGCGCAATGGCAACGGCAAGAGTAACGGCAACCACGGTGCTGGTTCCAGTCGTGGAGGGCCTGTCAGTGATACCAAGGGCGGCATGTTGACCATTCGCTCCAATGTCAAATTCCCTAAAGGCATCCTCGAGGAATCCACGAGTAACAGTACGGCTCGGGTGAATATCAGAGTCATCAGTGACTCATACGTTGGGATGGCATGGACTGTCTCTAATGTCGAGGTTAGTTTAGATGCTGGCATCGAGACGCAGACTGTGGCAGAGTCCAGTGTTCCTACCAAGGACTAGAAGCAATGCTCAAACTATTAACCAACAATTTACCTAAATACATACCTATGTACTTGATTTCTTCTGCCACTTCTCCTTCCCTTTCCGCTTTAGTGCTCAGGCCTTGCCGCTTTTTGCTCACTGAGTACAACTGAGCATTACATAATCACCAGGCTCGCTCACTGAGCATCATCTGATCGTTACATAAGCTGGATGACTCGCTCACTGAGCATGACCTGAGCGCTCCCAACTTAGCCAATTCTACGCTCATACTTATTCATTCGCGTATAATAGTATCAATATGGTATTATCGAACAAAGGCCAAATCGACCTAGTAAAGCCTCAAAACCGTACACATAACTATCTCGCTTAGGTGATGCTGAAACTAATTCTAAAAGCGCATGATTGGCGGTTGATAATTCAAGAATATCGCATCATTAAACTTTCTCCCAAGAGTAGAAAGTAAGATCAATAGACTTGCGCCTCCAATAGGTGGTGGGTCCAACCATCCACCTTACTCGTGGTACCTCTCGTCTAGGCTATCAATAAGAACCATTTCGAGATCCTTATTGTACTCCCATCGTATATCGCGTGGAAGCTCTTACTCATTAAATACAATTTGATAATAGTGGTTCTTCTCGGCCAGTATAAAAATCTCGGCGCCTTCGTTGAGAGCAACATAAATCCCTTTTTGCAAATTGGTATCCTACGCTATTTTCTTCAAACAAATTTCGGCCTACTTTTGTTCAAGGCAGGTCTCGAGGGAATTCGGATCAGATATCTCGCCGAGAAAGACTGATATACCATCGTCGTTGTTAAACTTGAAAATTTGACCGGGTCGAGATAGATATAGAAGAAGATCGTGGATTGGTGTAAAGGTATACTGTTTCCAGGTGTATGGCCTGTCAACCGGGTAAGATACTATGGCTTGGAGGAGAACACAATGTATTGTCTGGAGTGCCAAGACTAATTCTTGCCAGTCCCTTTTTGGGACCCTG